GAGCTAATATTACACGTAAATACTGAAAAAATTACTTTACTTGTTACTTTAATGTTTGTCTTACTTTGTTTAGATTTATGTTTACTTTTTGTTTTATGTTTCCTTTCTTTGATTGCTTTCGTTTGTTCTGTATCTTTGTTGTTGTTGTATCTTTTTCTTTTTCTTTGTTATTGTTATCCTTTTTTCTTTTTTCTCTTTGGTTTGTATTTATTTAGGTGGAATTGTATAATAAATGTAATTTGTGATTATTCTTAATGACAGTGTCATTGTAACTTGTCTTTAATTCAATAAAAACTGTTTAGAAAAAAATGACTCGAACATCATATGTTTCAGCCGTGACATGCCCTGCCATAACTATAACATCAGAGGGACTTATCATTAGCCCACCAGCCTGCTCAAACGCAAGTGTTCGCCTTGGTTATGCAACAGAGTGTCGCTTCACCTGTAAGAGTGGGTATCAGCTCCAAGGCCCTGGACTCAAGATTTGTGGACAGAGTAAGACTTGGACTCCAATAGGAAACCCCTTTTGTTCAGGTAGGCATGGTATATTTATCAATTATCAGAATAAGGCTTAGTAGGATATGAAGAATTCTGCAGATGAAGGAGGGTGTTATCCACCAAGCCCGAAGGCCGAGGTGTATAACACCCTCCTTTGTCTCCAGAATTCTTCATATCCTACGAAAGCCAAATTCAATAATTGTTTTATTATTCCTTCGAAATAATTCCAAGTTTAAAAACAAGCTAAAACATGCTAACCTTGGTTGACATAAGTTCATATCGACAACGAGTAAAATGTTCCGCCGACTGTTCAACCATTTTGTTCTAACTACCAAAACAACTCAACCTCGTCCCCAGTTTATCACGGTCAAATGTTCAATAACCTGCAACAAGGCTGCACTTTTGACGTCTTTTTGACGTCGTCGGTTCAATATGACAAAATTCTTTCCAAATTTGGTCAACAGTAGCTGGTTATGGTAAACTATGCGTGTGGTTTTAACAATCAGAAACGGGGAAATATTTTGAATGAATAATGAAATAGTATATAGATTTATAAATGGCTAAAAGCGAAGCTTTCGAAAACATTCATGGCTTGTTCAAACAAAATTTAAAATCGTGTAATGCTCGAGCGGCGAAGGCAACTCCGGAGAACGATGAAAAAACAAAAATAGGTCTAATTAGCAAAAAAGCAACTTTGAACGTGCAGCACGCTTTTTTTGAACATTTCTTTGCTGTTGCTTTGCAAAACTACAACGTGAAACTTCCTAGTTACACGTTTGAAGGTGATGTTACACGAAACGATTTGCTTCGACGATTTTCAGCGCAACACAGCGTTGCAATGTTGGAACAATGTTGCAACCATTCGAAACAATGTCGCAACAATGCTTTAATGTTGTGTTGCGCTAAAAATCGTTGTTGCGAATCGTCCCGTGTAATTTCACCTTTATGGAGGAAATGACGTACGTGTTCTTGTTCACTTTTTTCACTACCGCTCATTTTCACCTTGCATTGGTAGCCACCAGCATTTCTAATTTTGTCACCGCCGCTACAAAATTTTCATGTTGTTCTTCCGACAAAAAAATGTCTCCTTTGTTTTTTATCTCTCGCTCTAGATCTCTGTCGTCACTTTTCTCGTGGAGCTTTGCTAGCCTGCCACCTACTTTCTCTTTTTCTCTGTCTTTCACGTACTCAATATTCCAAATTTGGGGACATAACAATAATCTAAGCTTAATACTTTAGACAACACGGATACAGAAACAATTTATGCTTTCCGTTTTCGTATTTGTTGACTTATTAGTTGTCTCTGCTTTACAAGACGTAGGTGACTATGCAATTTCCCGCCAAAATAACCTCGGGTTACATTTGGGTTGCCATACCTGTTGATTGAGTTATTTTACATTAGTACGCCTGTGGTACGGATGGACAGTCGGGCGGGCATACGGTCACGTGATTACCAAAATTTCTTGGATGGGTAGATTACCACATTTTCGTACCCATGGTGTTCGGCTTTGTGCTCGAGAGCTTCGCTATAATTTTTATTCCTGCCAGGCGATTTATATGGCAAATCCCGCTTCTTAAATCAGTCAGCAAGTTAAGGGTTAAGTCTCCCCAGTCTTCTCCTCTTTATTCTGAGTACTAATAGAATTAACAAACATATAAATTTACTCATTGTATCGTGTCTTTGGCTTTCGTTATATATTAAATAGGTTTCCTCCTATTTACGTACATTCGAATTATCTATATCACAATACTATTATTTATTCGTTTATTTATTTTGTTCAAGACATTTCGAGGCCGACATTCTTAAACTGTCCTCCACATTTGCGTCAAAATGCTGACCGGGGTACTACGTCAGCAACAGTTTCGTGGGCAACCCCAACGGCTACAGATAACTCCGGCTTCGCTCCCAACATAACGCGAACAGGAAAGAAACCTGGGGAGAGATTCTCTGCCGGGGAACACATCATCCGTTACAGAGGCATTGACAGAGCGGGCAATATTGGCGAATGCACTTTTAAAGTCTTCGTCTCAGGTAGATGTCTTAATCTGGCAACTGTAGTTTTAAGTAGTTCGATAAATAACAGAAAAGTCTAAACTTAGCACCAGATTGTTAAATTTTAATATTTAAGTTATAACTATTGGTAGTTTCCTCCTGTGACAAGGCCTCAGCGAGTTAAAAGGGTCCGCAATATGGTGAGTCACGATGAGTTAATTACTGGTAAGTTAACAAATTCATTATTCTGTATGTAAAATCTTGAATCTAATATTCTACACGTGAAATCTTAAATTTCAGTATTCTGCATGTCCAAATCTTGAAATTTCGAGATTCTGCATACCAAATAATATTAAAAAAAATTGGTAACTGACCTGTGTTAACTCGTCGTGATTACTCACGCTGCATATATATCACCTTCTTAAACCCGAGTCGCAAACTTCTCAACATTATCTTATTCTAAGTGTATTAGAAAAAATACAAAGGAACGTTACCTTTTTAAGCAGTTTTCGTCCTATTATTCAGTGATCCGATGTGAACCCAGATTATATGCACCAGCTGGAGGCAGCAAATATTGCATCATGGATAACATGTATGGCTCAGAGTGTTCCTTTACATGTCACCCTGGTCACATCATGAGGGGTTCGGCAAAAAGAAGTTGTGAAAAAAATCACCAGAGCTCTTTCGGCTTCTGGACTGGAAATGAAACGAAGTGTGAATGTAAGTTATACTAATTTTACGCTAATCTAAAATTCTCATTCCTCTCAAGAGACTATGATTTTGCCTTTGTTTTTCGCATCAATTTGAATAACTCTTTAAGGCTTCTAATCACCACTACAACTCCAATCATCATCATCATTATCATCTCATCATCATTATAACTATAATCATCATCATCATCATCACCACCACCACCAACACCATCATCATCAGCACCATTTCCAATAGCACTCGCAAAAGCATTATCTTGTTGTTGTTGTTCGAATGAACTCCAATCTTCTCTTTGTCTCTACCATTTATGGTTTGTTGTCTTGCATAGTTGAATGTCAATGAATTTGACCCTTGAGACATTTCGTTTGTTTTATCTGTGTGCAGTGGTCAGGTGCCCTCGCCTTCCTCGTTCCTCTCACAGCGTCCAGTCAGGTTGTGGGTTTGGTTCCATGAATAATGTCTTTGGTGACAGATGCCTCTACTATTGCGACATTGGATATCGTAAAATAAACGGTTCAAGTGAGAGAGTCTGTCAGGCAAATGGGACATGGTCAGGGCAACCACCGTACTGTGAAGGTGAGCATAAACTAAGTTTTAAATGGCTCAACCAACTGTCTTTCATTTTACAGAAAACAAAACGAAATCATTAAAGAACAAAATGAGAAAGCTTGGTATTAGAACGCAATTTCTAATTTCGTTGGGCTCTTGCGCCAATAGTTTGTGGTTTTTTTTTTCTGATATATACTCATACCATTTGGATTAGACTGTGCTACATGAATCTTTCATCGTTGAATTAAAATAAGCAATAGAAAATTAATATAGGTGCTTTATTTTTTCTTTCATAGTCGTTCGTTGTAGTTCCCTGGAGCCACCAAAGGACGGGCAAGTAACACCAAATTCATGCACAGTCTCTCCAGAATACGGTGAAACGTGTTACTTCTCTTGTCCGAGAGGCTACAGATTGCATGGGGAGCCAGCAGTATCCTGTCTCAGCAATGGACAGTGGTCCAAAAGCACTAGTGCCTTTTGTGAAGGTTACTATAATGTGTAAATAATTTATACGGTATATGCAGATCCATTTTCTGTGGTCACTCCAATTCATTTGTTTGTCTGAGCAAAGGAATATAACCTTGCAACTGAACGATACCCGATACCATTACCCCCAACTAATTAACTGGCCATTATTACTTTAATTTTTAAGGTATCTAATCTGTTAAACGTTTTATTTTAGACGTGGAAAGCCCCTCGTTTGGCTCAACGTGCCCCTATGATATAAAGCGCTATGCAGACAGGGCGAAGAACTACACAGCAGTAAGCTGGTCTGCCGTTGTAGCTACTGATAACTCGGGTGTTACCCCGAATGTCTTTTCTACTGGTGTAACCAATATATACCACACAGGAAGGCATACCGTTACATACAACGTAAGCGATGAAGCTGGGAATTCTAGGATCTGCAAGTTTTACGTCTTTATTGAGGGTAGGTGGGACTTTAAACTGCGCATAATCTGCAAAGACGATGCAACAAATATTTCGCTTTACTGAAAACGTCTCGGGTCATTCTCCAGTTATCGATAAGGCTATCTAGTGGCTAACGCGGGTTCCCTAATATTTATATGCTGAATGGTGATTTACCCGGTGGATACCGCTTCATATACGTACATTTTGCAAACACTAAAAGACGTTACATGCACTACACCATATCCAGCAACAAAAACTGAACCAAATTTTTTCATCCTATTACAGTGTTGAGATGCCAAACATTGCTCCCTCCGTTGAACGGTGGTTTGTTGGGTAAATGTGAGAATACTTTTGGATCAACCTGTACATTTGGGTGTGACGATGGATACAAGTTACTTGGTGCACAAAATATATCATGTGAAGCAAACCCTGGTCACATCACGGGTTATTGGGATAATCCAGTTCCTGCCTGCAAAGGTAAACACATAATAAGCAAATAAGACAACAAGCCATAATATGATAATCGTATGACCATTTTACTGACTCCTAAATTTCAAGGTGAAAATTGTCTTCATTCCTGAATAAATAGCTCCTGGATACATCTTTTTATGGTGAGAGTGAAATGAACTTGTTCTACAATTATCTTGTTCACTTTCGTTTTATTTTGTCATTAAAGATATAGTTCATTATTGTTCTTTTTCCTTGTAGTTATTGCCTAAAAGTATCACCAATTATCATCATTATTATGATCCTTCCTCAAAAAATAAAGAATCGTCTAAGGAGTAGCGGTACTCTTGTTATCATATCATTTTCTGTCTGTTTTTTTGTTTGTTTTTGTTTTTTTTGCTTAGTCCTTAGATGTTCTTCATTAAAGGTACCGCGGTTTGGCTATATTTATCCTTACATGTGCTCGTCATCTCCCATCAGTGGAACTGTTTGTTATTTGGAATGCAGACATGGATTCCAAAGTAATGGAGGGGTAAACGTGTTGCAATGTGGGAAGAACGGAAAATGGAACCAAAATGTATCTTCTACTTTGCAGTGCAAAGGTACGTCATTTCTTTGGCTTTTTCGTCTATTTGAAGCAAAACAGAAAATGGAACAATGTTGCTTTTCTAAAATAAGGTGCTTAGTTAGATCCTGCTCACCTTTAGCCATGAGCTTGACAGAATGTACTTTGGTTCAAGTTGTCTGATGTGACAGTATTAAGGGTTCTATTTTCTCATATGTTGTCTCGCAGACGTTGTTCCTCCCGTATTCATGAGCTGCCCTTCCGATATTCACGCCAGTATCAACGAAAATTCGTCGGCATCGGTAAACTGGACGTTTCCTGTCGCTATTGACAACAGCAACCAGGCACCGCAGATCACTGTATCACCAGCTGGAGTAACTTCACCTTACACGATTTACACCTCTACCGTCATTACCTACACTGCAACTGATGCGAGTGGAAACAAGGATGAGTGCTCATTTCAAGTCTTTTTGGAAGGTCAGAAAATAATCCTTAATGAGGAAGCATACCTGAGGTCAAGAGGGCTGGATTGGTTGAAAATTTTATGGACCGAAAGGCAATCGTAGTCCATAAAGAAGTAAAAATGCCACACTCCAGTCGACAAGTCCGAACTTTCTTAAAATATAAACGATTTTATAGTATGGGTAAAAGATTGAATTTTTTTCGAGAACAACGCGGGAATACAAGAGCGGGCAAAATAGAATCATAGCCAGAAGCTAGTCAAAAATACAGGATTCGCTTTATCTTACCCACTCATTAATAGTAATATATATACTAAACATAACGCTTGTTTAAATAGATTTTACACATTTTCATCCCTCGTCGGAAAGGGTCCATATAGACCTAGGCATTTATGTCTAGTGTCAACCTTTAAAATCAATCGCATGTTTTAATTTATAACAAGAATCTGAATCCATAATTCATTTTATTTGCAGACAATTCAGGCCCCGAGGTTGTATTTTGCCCACCAGACCAAAACATAACTGCAATAAAGATGAGGACAGTTGTAACATGGATCTCCCCACAGTTTAAAGACAACAGTAACAATCCTTTGGTCATTAGATGCAGCCATCAGAGTAACGCAGAGTTTTACTGGGGAACCTGGAACGTGCATTGTACGGCGTTTGATAATAATCCAAATAACAATCCTGCCGTTTGCCAGTTTACAATCAGGTTAAAACGTAAGTAGTTAGTAAGTGACGTTATCACCCGGGGGCAGGGGATACCACTGGAAAATTCGATTGGAGGTGTGCAGCTTGCCTCTTGACAACCAACTATAAAATGCATGACCTGTCCTACCCTACTCATACCTGAACAGGTGTTCTCAAGAGACGAATGACAAATAAAGGACACACCAAATTCCAGATACAGGTACCTGATAGCACAAAACCTTACACTATAAAAAAAGCCAGACATTCAGTCTATAATTATTACCCATTTTCGGACCAATTTGTCACTTTCACACACTTTCACAGCCCCCAATTGCTTTCTAATCCATTTTCATGACACTAACGTTCATCTCATAAGGTAATCCTATGCTAAGCTATGCTAGTTTTGCAAGAAATTTGGGGAGCATAAAGTAAAATGAGAGCCCTGGCAACATGCATACAGCAGTCCTCCGTTAATTTGTGTTTCAAATGAAACATACTCCTATCATGCTGGTTTGCCAATATGCAAACTCACAAAATCGCACATGCAGCCACAATTAGCTTAAAATGGAATACAGAGGCACTCAACGATTGTTTTCTGTAAAATATCTGTTCGGGGAAGCAAACATTGCCAAGAATTAAGGATGGGTCAACGTAGATCAACTTAATCTTTAGGGTCCCTATTTTAATACCGAAGAATACAATTAAATTTAAAGAGAGGCACATGGTTGATTTGATATCGATCTGTACTAAGTTTGTTATAATCTGCCTTGATACAGCGAAAGATTGTATTGATCTGCCACCTCCCAAGAACGGGGCAAAGGCTTGTGATGACTGGGCATTCGGAAGATTTTGCACTCCCTCGTGTAACAGCAAATGGGATTTCGCTCAAGCACTGCCTCCATTTGTAACATGGGTATGTGGAGCATCAGGGGCATGGTCTCCTTCAACCCGGTGGCCAGATTGCTCAAGTAAATAGAAAAGTGCTGTTTTATAACTTGTGTATATGTTGGGTGTAATTTTATTCTTGGTTAATTTTTTTTTTGTTTCAAACCCATTATCATGAATTTCCCTTCCTAAGAACTAAGGGCAATAAAATGTGAAATTAAACCACAATTAACATAGACCAGCGTATTACTAAAGAGGGTATCGGCCCTACGTAATTATGTTCGGATAACAACACCCTCCTCGATCTCCATAATTCTTCAGATCCTACTCAGCCTTAACGAGTAATTTGTTACTTATTTCATGTACTCCAAGTAAATGTGTTCCTTTCAGGGAGACGAATGTCTGAGGCTACTTATTAACCCTCAGCTAACGTAAGTGGAACCACAGTTCCGACGTAGAACATCGTATTGCTAACAAGGGCTGATGGGTTTGTTTCTCTCCCGGTAGACGCGTACGGTAAATTGCATGGATACCTACACTGATATTTCTTCATTTAATTCAAAATAGGCGGTTCATATATGATTTATGTCACATAATTTGACTTGACCAATTATCTTGAAGAAAGATACCCTTCGTATTCGTCATTTGCCAGTTATGTAGAAGGTGAAATTATCTTATAAACACATCCATCTACTTACTGATTTGAGCGAGAGTTTTAATTGGTTACTAGATGGTAAGGGTTCTGTGCAAAAACATAAAATGCTATAACACCTTTTGTTATATAGCTGAAATTTATGACGTCAGAGGGTAATAGTGCACTGTTACCCTCGGATGTTGACTGCTCGCAAGATTTATTTTTATAAATTTGTTCTCGAAAAAAGTTTTTCTTCAAATCACTTAAAGATAGGTCCCTCGGGAAACAGTTAATTTTGTTTGCCTCGAATCTCAAAGTTTCCCGTGACGGAAGATTGTCGGGAAACAAAATTAACTGTTTCCCTAGGAAGCAGTCATTAAGTTTTTATTAATATATTTCCAATAAATCACTGCAGAGGTATACCAAGCAGGTGAAGCTAGAATGGCGATGGATTTGTACTATTTCGACGGAGATTGCAGAACACCGGAAGCCCAGACAAAAATAAGAGAGAACTTTGTTCGGATTTTAAACGGGTCCCTTTTTCGAGTGATGTGCCAAGACCCTGTGCTCAGAGATCGTTGCACGGCTGAGAACGTAGTGGTAACATGCGATGAGAATACGAGCGCAAGACGGAAAAGACGTTCATCAGGTTGGTGTAACATTGGTTGAGTATCACAGCGGTACTTCCAGCAAGTAGCTGAGGCATAAGCCAATGAACTCTTTCTTGCGGTGAAACTGAGTTGACTGTGTTCTTCTTGGGAGGATGATTGACGCGAGATCGAAGACAATCAGTCATAGTGTAACTCGGTAGATTTTTAGAGCTAGTTTTCCAAAACAGGGTTCTTTTTCACTCAGTGATAAACATTTACCCGGAGATACTTAGAGTAATAGCACCTGTTACTCAAGGAAAAAGTTCTTCTGGACCTCAGAAATATAGTTGACGAAATACGACTCTCGGGTCCCCTAAGTTTAGCGTCTCTCGATCCTTCGCGAAGCAATTTGGGTATAGTGACAGCTGAAAATCGATAAAAAGCCCTGACCTTGTGCAAAATATTTAAACTGTTAAAAGACTGTCACAAAGCGATATTTACAAAGTGTGTTTATTTTGAGGTGATTTTTTCATTCTTCAGATGGTGTTGGTGATCGCATTCGGACAAAAGTCCATCTTGACATTGTTGGTAAGTTGTGTACAGCCTAGGTCACACCCAAAAACGTCCTCTACAGACGTTTAATGTTTCATAACCCCTCCCCCCCGGCCTAGTCTCAGGGCTTCATATTGGGTTATTGTGTCTTACAATTAGTCATGCGGTTCTAATATGTCATCTCATAAGGTACTGAAAATCTCCGGGAAACTCAAACCAATTCCATTTAGGAAGTACAATGGAAAGTCCACTCCTTGAGGCTTTTTATCACATACGCCTTTCTAGATTAAATGTACAGGAGTAATTTCTTGCCATAATAGTGATTAAAATGGTGAAACTGAACAGGAGACAGTTTGTTTCGATGGATGAGTAGGACGTAACAAGTTTCATTTGATCTCAGTCTCAGATGGCATTTGTGCAATAAGTTATACACTCGAATTCAAAACCCACATTTACTTCCGGAGCTACTTTCCCTGCCATTCTCGAAGAACAGTAAATCTTGCTTAACACCGCCTTTGAATAAATAAATATGGATGAAGTTGGCCAATAGCTGAAAGTAAGATTCCAGTGATAAAGATTACAACAATTTCACTTAACAATTGCTGGCATACAGGCAGTAGCTACTCGTTAAAACGTTTTTCTAGGCGCTTCTAAATAAAAATTTTTTAAGTTGAGGCTATGAATAGACGGATAAATCTTTTGAGGGACCTCCATCGTTCTTTTGGGATGAAATTAATGCATTCTTGTAGGCCCTTCGTTTGTTACAACGAGCTTTTGCCACTAGTAGCTTGTCATGTAACAATTCACCTTTCGCAGTAATCCTTGACAACAGTACCGGAGTAGATGACGGCAAACAAAGCAAGATCGAAGCAGGTTTGGCAGGCGTGGAGTTCGCCAAAAACTTAAGCAGTGAAATCAGGAGAGCAGTTGAGATTGGTGTCCTCAATCTGACCATAAACGGCACGGTGTTTGTTCCTGATGAGCAGTCGCTGAACTTCTCAGAACCTGTGATATTTTGTGCCAAAGGACAATCCTTTAGAGATGGAGTCTGTGGTAATTTATTTATTATTATCATACACATACACGTAAAGCAGTGGAAATTAAGGGGCTTTGACATTGACTTGTGTTTATGATATTGTCTCTGCATTTTGCTGTCAATATTTCATTAAAATTAAAGGTCTAATGCTGTTCTAAGCAAACTGCGTACAAAGGAAAACACTTCATCGAAGTACAACTGAAGTAGAACGTGAAAAACGGGAACACTGAGACAAGTAGAGGAGTTGTCCTCACGTGGCTTTAGGTGGCCTTTGCAAAATCCTTCGTGAAAACCAATTCCAGCAAGCCAAATATAATTCATTCTCATGCACTTAAGACTCGAGAAGCACTATCTGTATTACCATTATCGCCATCATCATCAGCACCAGCAACACCAATAGCAGCAGCAGCATCGCCACCAATATTAGTTTATATATTCTTTTGTTCATTCCTCATTATGATATATTTTGCATTGCTCAGTAAGCTGTTCACCAGGAACATACCTAAACAAAACTCTTGGTACATGTGAAGACTGCCCTGTTGGATCATATCAAGAGGAAGAGTCACAAGAAGCATGTGTGCCATGTCCACCGAGAACCTCAACGGAAGAAACAAGATCTGACGATCGATCCAATTGTACAGGTAAAAGCGCACTGTTTCAGTACTAATGCTTAACTTTACTTTATTGACTTTGTTGCATGCGATCAAGTAATATGTAGATTAAAATATAAAATTCGTTAGATAAAAGAAAATAAAGTAAAATAAAATAGATAATATTGCAACTGCAGCAGGAAGCAGGACAATGTCCCAGTTGATATCTTGCCCCAAGAACCAAATAAAATAAAAAAATAATAAATAATTATAAAAAAACATAAATAACAGAACCCCCTCCCCCCAACCGTAACCACTGCTTACCCCCTCCCCATAAACAGACTACCTACGTATCACCCTATACCTCACCAACTGGGAGGACATAACATAATAGTATTAATTGCGAGTGTAAATGTCTAAAATCCTTTTCTTAAAACTAGATAGTGACTGATTAGTGCTTTTGATGTCTACAGGTAGCTTGTTAAGCCTATACGTATTCTATTATCTTCTATTCTGTTTTCCACTGCTATTACCCACCTAACTATATACTCAAGGTACTGTTAAGCTGAAAGCTTGTATAAGATAATGCTTTGTGCAGTTGTATATATGACTATATTACTATACCTAGTTAAGGCTTAAGACTCATCAACATTGATATATCTTCAACAGGCTATTCACGAAACTATATTACGTACAAAAAAAATAACCACTTTCTATTTCTCCTACACAAAATAGCGCTGTGTAAGCCTGGGTCATATTCACCCACCGGATTAGAGCTTTGTATCCAGTGTGAAAAGGGGTTTTATCAAGAAACAGAGGGACAGCGTCTCTGCATAAAATGTGGTGTTAACACAACAACTCCAGAGGAGGGATCAAACAGTTCTATGCAATGTGCAGGTAAAAATGACAGTTTGCATTTTATGAACAAATAAAATGCACAGACAAAACCTCTGAATGTACATAAGTGCATTTATAGAGTTAAGTTTTCATTAAAATGACTATCCCAATCGAATTTCAAGAATTATCTATTAACCTATTTTCCAGGCCCCAGTTGTTCAAAAGGTGGATAGTGATATCCACTGGATAAATCACTATCTAGTGGATAACCAATTATGCTTCGTAATACTTATTCATTGGATATCGATTTATCCGGTGGATAGCGCCATCCAACTTTTGAAAGTCAAGTCAAATCAATTTTTATTTAAACTCACACAGAATAATTATAATTAATACAAATTAGTACTTTAAAATATAAAATCAAGAGATTGTGAAGGGAAAGAGAATTTCAATTGTAGGTTCATTGTGCAGAGTTTGGGATACCTAAATAGTTCGTGGAACTAACCGAGTAGGTGACCCAAACGAGAATATGAGTAGAAGGAATATAGATACAAAATAGCTGTTTGAGAAAAAAGTATTACTTCATTAATTAAATAGTAGTTAAGATAATACAATCGTAAATTATTAGGAATCAATAATAGTATTAAAACCATCAATCACAGAATTCTTGATATATTGACGAAAACTGGAAAACGGCTTGATTTTCTTAACATCAATAGATAAAGAATTCCAAAGTTTTGGGCCAGTGTAACTGAGAGAACGAATGCCGTATTGAGTGGTATGAACAGATTTAACAAAGAGATTATCACTCTTTGATTGACGTGTATTATATGAATGAATTGAAGACACCGGGTTAAAATAATTAACAAACCAAGAAGGACTTAGTTTATGGTACCACTGATAAACAAAAGAGAGAATTTCAAGATGAATTATATCAGAGAATTTTAGGAGTCTGAGAGTCTTCAGCAATGGCTCAGAATGAGATCCAGAATAAAAAAAACGGAGCCAGACCACAGAACACGGTAAGCTAGCGTGCATGGGTTTTAACAATGGCTGGCCGTAAACGCCCAATACAGATCTCCTGCTCATATTTTATCTACTACTTGTGGACATACTGTAGACAAGGAATTATCAGCTATTTATTTGGAAAGCTAAATAATTTATGATATGGGCAAATAGATTCACCACAAGTACTAAATAAAAGTTTGGCTTACTTGTATTTTTTGTTGGTCTTTCCTCCAGTCCCCTGTCCTCCGGGTTCTTTCTCTCCTACTGGACTGGCTCCTTGTACTTTATGCAACCGGCGCTCCTTTCAGCCCCACAACGAGAGCCGTATCTGCGTTCCATGCCCAGGAACAACTGCAACTGTCATGCCAGGATCAAAAAATTCTCAAGATTGCATAGGTGAGAGGTACAGAGCACCTATCGACACTAAGTTAGCTGTTCCATTGAAGGGCTACCAGGCTCGATTAAGTATAGCTTCTGAAAACGACTGCTGATCGCATGAAAACGTAAGGTAACACGAAAGTTTGCATGGGCAAGAATACTTATTTTATCTCTCCTTTTTACTCTCCAGAAATTAACGAATGCGAATCCAATCCATGTCAAGGCAACTCTAACTGCACAGACCTTATTGCTGACTTTCTGTGCTCCTGCCAACCTGGCTACACTGGTAAACAATGTGAGACCAACATTGACGATTGTCAGGACCAGCCTTGTTTCAATAACGGCACCTGCCATGACCTGGTCAACAATTACACCTGCACATGCAAACAAGGGTACCAGGGATCTAATTGTGAAGATGATGTTGATGAGTGTATGACATCCCCTTGTTCCAATAATGCTTCGTGCAGCAATTATCCAGGAGAATATAACTGTCAATGCAGACCAGGGTTTACTGGAAAGTTGTGCGAAACAGACGTGGACGAATGCGAGTTATCACCGTGTATAAATGGAGCAACTTGTAGTGATGGAATAAACAACTACACCTGCCTCTGCGCAACAGGTAAGACTAAGTGAGTAATATAATATAACGATGAAGTGTGATATTAACAACGTGTATTATATCGCAGGCTACCAAGGAAACGATTGCGAGGAAAATATCAATGACTGTGCATCTGACCCTTGTCAGAACGAAGGCAAGTGTGTGGATGGAGTTGGAACATACCACTGCATCTGCCCTGCAGGATTTAATGGAACCAACTGTCAGCATAATATTGATGAATGTCACAATGTAGACTGTAAGAACAATGCAACATGTATTGACCAGATCAATGAGTTTTATTGCGTATGCCCGAACGGTTTCACAGGAAAAAAATGCGAGGTGAACATTGACGAATGCGCGTCCAGTCCTTGCAGGAACCAAGCTAGGTTTGTATTTATTTACTTTAAAGTTGAATTTTGTTATTGAAATTGGTTCTAAATAACTTTCCAAAGACAATCTGCATTATTCAAAAGTGTCGTTATCAGTCAACCTACCATATATCAGATGAATAAATTAAATAAATAAATAATGATTTGGAGGTAGCACATCCACCAAGTGGTTCTTCGTCTACCTGATTCCTGGCTGAATTGGAATTTGGAAGTGTTGGTTTTTTTTATTAGATTTTATCGAAAAATAAAAGACACATTTCTTGCTTCCAGTATTCCAAGAACTCCAGAAGAGCAGTATATCTTACCTCATTACTACATCTGATTTAACGGTCTCCAACTGATTTTAAGTAATTTCTAATCAGAGGCAGTAAATTAACTAGTAAATTAAGTAAAGAAAGAAAGTAGAGAAAAGGAGAAAAAACGCAGACTTTTCAAAGAACGCTACCAAACTATAAAGCTAAGGCGCTGTTACTTCCATCTCGTTAGGTGTGTGGATATGATTAACACTCATCAGTGTGAATGCAAAGATGGTTTCGATGGCCTCCACTGCGAAAACAACGTTGATGAATGCGCCTCAAATCCTTGTTCAAACAAAGGTACATGTCACGATGGCATCAATAATTTCACCTGCGTTTGCCCTCCGGGGTACACAGGAAATACCTGTAGTTTAGACATCGACTACTGCTCATCAACGCCGTGCTTGAATAATGCCTCTTGTTTTGATGGACGCACTTCCTTTACTTGTCAATGCCGCGATGGATTCAGTGGAGACCAATGTCAGTATAACATCGACGAATGCGTGAATGCAACATGTTTAAATGGCGGAACATGTATCGACGGCATTGATCAATACGCATGCGCCTGCCAAGCGGGATTTACCGGATTCAACTGTGAATTAAATATTGATGACTGTGCGCATAATCCGTGCTTAAACGATGGGACTTGTATGGATTTGATAAATGAATTTAATTGTGCCTGTAGGAGAGGTTATACAGGGGAGAACTGTAGTGTCGACATTAACGAATGCTTCAGTTCTCCTTGTCAGAACAATGGAACATGCAATGATAAAGTCGACGGCTACACTTGCAGTTGCATTGATGCCTTCAGTGGAATACACTGCGAAAGGAATATTGATGACTGTTTAGGTCACGGTTGCGCTAACGGTTCCACCTGTAGGGATGGGGTTAACAGCTACACTTGTGAGTGTCCTCCTGGGTTCTGGGGAAGGTTCTGTGAATCTGAAGTAGACGAGTGCGAGTCCTTTCCTTGTAATAATGGTGGAACTTGTAACGATCAGGTACCGTGCAATGCCAGTACTTCTTCGAATAAATGCCCTCTACAACACACTGTTAAGTGTTTATAAACGTTTCTCCCGCATCATTAACTTGCAGACGTTAAAGTAAACGGCCCAATAAAGTTAAACTGTTATTTGATACGGTCACAAGATAGGTAGGAATTCAAATGACTGACGACCAAAATGAAGTGTTTTAAGGTCTTCTCTATGACCTCTAATCATGAAAGTTTGATGGATGGCAAGAATTTAAAGTGTCTCTTTATAGATCTGACATTTTCTTATTAGACACCTCTCTTTCGGGTGTTGGAGACACTTACTAGCAAGCGGTTTCTTTTAGCGAGAACCTCTAAGCTATAGATTTTGATATAATGCATAGCAAAGCCTCTTAGTATAGCGGCAACAAAATTGGATTTCTTGTCGGGTTTAGCTTAGTACAACACCACCACCACCAAATATAATAGCAGTTCCATTTACAGAGATGGTATTGCTATGACGATCATATAAATAAAACTAATATGTAGTTAAAAGGACAGAATGCACAGTTGTCAAACGTATTCGGGTTTGACGACTATAATTCATAGCAACGATATGAATACGTCTTTTACTTATAGATTCCTTTATTTCACCTCAGGTAAACGCTTTTAAATGCACCTGCCAAGCAGGCTTTGCTGGAGACGAGTGCGAAATAAACATTGATGACTGTAAATTAATGCCGTGTTTAAACAACGCCACTTGCATAGACCTGATAGCAAACTACACATGTTCCTGTCCTTCACCAAAATGACCCGAGGTAACGCTCTCAGCGTAACTAATGACACCCCTCCGTTTGACGTGAGTCTTACCTCAAACACAATTAGATAAGTGTCCATTTTCAGTATCATTAGCCTGGATTCTATGCAATCGTTCATATCGTCTTGTCGCCTCGATTTCAGTCTATATGAAGACTTAGTTCTATTCAGACTATTTCGATCGTCCCAATGGGCCCTTAGCAGCTCGATCGCTCTAACTGGCACTTGGCAGCTTAACAGTCACCTGGTACAAAAACACCTTGCAAGAGAGAAAAGGCGCAGTGGGATCCACTGGAAAGAAAGGAGAGTCGCATTTTAAATGATGCAATCCTGTTTTCTTTCTTGCCCTATTGCGTCCTATACTTTCTGGCAAGGCGTTTTTGTCTCGCGCGACTGTTTAGCTGCAAAGGGCCTGTCGCCAGGATCGTATCGCATTCATTGGAAGCGTTTCCATGTGATGGCCTTGATCGCCTGAACACATTTTGAGACGACTCTTGTGATCGCCACGACTAGGACGATTACATGGACACCAGCCTCAACGGAACTTGACGAACTGCGTTGCTGCTAAGATTTAAACTTTTGCGCCAAGAAAATGTAAATGATAATTTCATTAAGGCTTTGGCGAAGGCATTTTAGCAGCGAAACGACGTGTTTTGGTTACTAAATTATTTTTGAACCGGTTTCTCGCCAATTTGCATGGAATTGGCGTAACATGAGATATGGAGAAACTGAAAGTATAATTTTCCGCGAATTAGATGTAAATAAGTTTCATGTTGGTTTTGGCGCATGTGCATAAGCCGAAATTGTTAAAGTGCGACAAGACTCGGAACTATGTACACTGGTGTATATAGTTGTCTCACATATTACTTTACGGAGCCATCGTCATAAACAGTAACACACTTAAGGTGTTTTTTTTTTTATCGTTCTCACATACAGGCTTTAACTGTAAATGCAACAGTGGTTACTTCGGCGAGTACTGCGAGTTTGAAATTGACGAATGTTCAGCAAAACCCTGTTTCAACAATGCAACATGTCATGATGTCGTCAACAATTTCACTTGTTCTTGCTCCGCCGAGTTTACGGGGAGGTACTGTGAGCAGAAAATAGATGATTGTGTGAATAACTCCTGTCAAAATAACGCAACGTGTGTTGACAACACATTGGGTTACTCTTGCCTGTGTGCTGAAGATTACAACGGAACTTTCTGCGAAACAGAGATCAACAAATGTGACTCCTCTCCGTGTCAAAACAATGGGACATGCGTAGTTGAAAGGCCTGGGTACATATGTAGGTGCCCGGATCAGTTTGCAGGAGTAAACTGCGAAAACTTTACTGACCCCTGCTTATCATCACCATGTCAGAATGGCGGAACGTGTCACACTGACAACGCCACGGGAAGCGTCTCTTGTTTATGTAAAACAGGTTTTACGGGAAGCACCTGTGATGTGAACATTGACGATTGTGCATCGGAGCCCTGCATGGCCAACTCCTTTTGCCTTGATTTGGTAAACGAATATGAATGCAAGTGTTACCCATCTCACACAGGAGATCACTGTGACATATGTGAGTAACGATATGCCTTAGGCGATTTTCGAGTTGGCCCAAACCTCTGTTTTAAAGCAAGGCTTAGTGCGAAGCTATCGATTTGAAAATGAATTTTAATTACCAGCAAATAAAACTCACTTTTACAAGAATTTTTTTTCACTTAGTCTCAACTCTCTCTTTCAGCTCTTTTGAAAATGAGATTGTTTGGAAATCGGAAATGGTCTATTCCTCAACTTAATCGAGGCGTTGAAATGACCTATGTAATGCAACGTCAAACAGACCATGTTGATGTTAGCCGTGTGCTGATTATAGTAATGACGATCAAAATTGTGCCTATTAATGGTAGAGAAACTGCTACCGCTTAACTTTTATGCACCGCTCTCTCTCTCTCTAATTTTGTGGTGATAAAAACGCCAGCTGATCAATAGTTTTAAATTTACAGAATATTTTTAATTCAAATATGGTTAAGACCTGCGATAACTCCACCTCGATGAATTGCATAAAAATGTGTCATCGAGAAGATCCATTCCAAGCTATAAATCGTTGTGTTACGTTTACAGAATGTAATAAAGCGACACTTCAAAGGAATATCTTAATATAAACTAAACCTCTTACATTCCTTTCTCAGTCCTTGGCAGCAATTTTGATTTGATTTTCAAGCGCCATACTGCAAACGACATGGTTATATTATCAGACGGTGAAAGCATCCCTACAATGAGGTTTTTTACCATCGCCCTGTTTGTCCGAGCAGACTCCGGGCACAGCTCAGGAACACTCTTTAGCTACAGTGTGCCTGGTGTACCACAAGACGTAATAATTCTCTCATTCACTGAGTCACAGGTTAAGCTGACGATTAAAACTGAAGTTGTGGCAGCTGATTTCAAATTACCGGACAATAATTGGAACTACGTGGGCGTAGTTTGGAGCGGAACGACAGGAGACGTGTCCTTGTACATTAATGGCCCTGAAATAAAAAGGGCCAGGAACATTCTCAAAGGTGAGATTTTACTGACTTCTCAACAGCAGCTGTCATCGGGGCACAAGTTTGAAAATTTGAAATCCTTTCACTGCATTCATCTATTGTAGCCAAACTTTACCATAAAAGAGCAATCAGATAGTATTCTGAACAAAGCAATAGCATTTTAAGAGCTTATCACTAAATCGATAGCATGGACTGTACTGCAAACGGTCCATGATAACTTTGAAATCAACGACCAAAATTGAATTTACTTTCACGAGTTCAATTTTACTGTAAAAATCCAGGTGATACCATCACTGGAGGGGGATGGATGGTTCTTGGCCAGGAGTTCCTCGCTGGAAAACCATCATCTTCTTTATCGACTGCTTTTGCTGGTACATTACATCAAGTCAGCTTTTGGGACGTGCCTGCTACTGCCGATCACATGTGGAATGCAGCTCACAACTGTACTTGGCCCATTGCTGGAAGTGTGCGCGCGTGGAGCAGTTTTCTTCAAGGAATCAAAGGCACAGTGGAAAAGCGATTCATTACGCAATGTCAAGGTAATCAGAGTCGGTAACAGAAAGCGCTGCAAACGTTAGTGCCAGCTGCGATTGAATAAGACTAGGAGAATTCACGGTCTTGGAAGGAAAGGCTACACAACCCAAAAACACTTGATGACCGGTCCCGAGGAAAACAGTTAATTTTGTTTCCCGACAATCACACTGTTTCCCGGGAAGGAGCTAAGGAAAACATTGAGATTCGAGTTTCAATGTTAGACGTCATGTGATTTCGAAGTAACCAATGAGAGCGCAAGCTGTTGGGAAGAAATTCACAGCTATATAGCGATACCGTTTTATGACTCCTAGGGTCAGAACTTTCAATGTGCTTCCGTTTTGAGGTGGAAAGATGTTTAAGAGCAGTTGTCTGTAAGATTTGAGCTATATTAAAAAGGCGCTGCCACACTATCTCACCGAATTGGCTAAAAATTGGCATGTAGACTTGATTTGAGGTCTTTAATAAGGAATAGGTAACTTTAGGTTCTAATTCCTCCTACTTCGGAAATTATCGACATGGCCGGTTTTTGGGTGCCTCGGACCGGCGCCATATTGGTTAATAGAAGCTGCTTTTGAGCCTTCGACTACAACCCTGTCTTCAAAGCTAATCTTCCTTTGCCAATACAGATTGAAAGAACAATCCCTCTTTATTGTATTTTTAGAAACTACTTCGAAATTGATAACGTTTTCGCAACGATCGATTAAACTTTTGGTGGGTATACTTTTTGAATTTTTTACACCCGCAAAATTAACAGAATTTTAAAGGCGTATATCTCTTTTGCCACATCGCATTGAAGCTTGCCAATCTGCCTGAATACTCACTGTTTGTAGTTAAATCGAGTTCATTAATAAAAAAATTGGGCAA